AAGAGCTGCTGAGTCACTAGAACCAGTCTCCAGCTTTCATCTGGAAACACTGTCGTAAAATTAAATCAAATAAATTTGATTAAATAAAATTAACCTTATTATGGCATAGGTGGACAGAGGGTGTCCTCAGATGCTAAGCATACAGTGGCTGCTATTGACATCAGTGACTTTTGGGATGAGCCATAAAGTTTAGGTAGGAAGAGAATCAGATCCAAAGAAAGACATGGAATTTTAAAAAGTTAGAGGAAAATTGCAAAAACCTTTGACTAGGTTGATTGTCTCATCACAGCAGACACCTTGTCTCAGACACAGCAGACACAGAATCATATAGAAACTGTCAGCGTTATGTATTTTCCTTCTCTTACATTCTAATGACCCTTTGCACACGCACACGTAGTGATTGTTTTCTTGTGTAATTGATACAGGTGCATCTTTGAGGGTGATTTTAGTATTGTCTAAATGACACTTTAAACAGTGGGGAAAACTCCCGGAGAGTTCTAGCCCAGCTGTATACATTGGAAAACACTAGCTTTTTAACCTGGTATGTTTGGGTTTGAGTATTCTTGCCTTGTCCTTTTAGCTGGCTGCACCCATCTTTAACGAAGGCGTAACCACCAGCCTCTGGGCTGCAGACAGTGTGGGGCAGAGGGTACTGCTGTACGTGCAGCTGATCCCCTGATGGAACAAGCTTCATACTTGGATGTTTCTGAGTGTGCATTACTCATAAGACATTTAAGTCAGGCTGCTGTGGTGTCAGATTTTACAGACTTACAAAGTCTTGAAGCTGCCAGAAGTGGGGGTACATGCCAATATTTGTGTGTTCAGAGCCTGCAAATTGCTTCTTGAGATAGGAGGATGGATGAAAACGTGGTCACGCTCAGCTAAGACAAGATAAAGTGTCCTGATGTATAAAACTGTGGATTTCCTACATCTCAGTGGTCTTTATTTACATTTAATCAAATAATATATTATTCTTTTCACATAACCAAAGGAAAAGATTAGTCTCTAGGACTAATCAAAGGAGACTTCTCTAGCCAGGAACTGTGGAGAAAATGGAGTGCTGAGCTGGAAAAATGTGAGGGGTTTAATGTGTGGTTAATTTGCTAAAAATACTGTTGGAAACATAAGAATGTTTTTCCCTTTTATCTTTCAGTGAAAAACAGATCCAACAGTAAGATACTACAAATTATCCAATATTTTTGTCCAACTTATGTTTGAGTATTTTGTCTTAACAGATTTCTAAAGTGATTTATAATTTAGCGGTACAAAACAACATTTAGCACAAGAGAAAATGCAGCTTGAGATGTTGGTTTAATTTTCATTTGCTTTCCCTTAAAGAATAACGGGAAGCCTCATAGAAAACATTTTATTTGGAAAGACCCTGAAGCAAGGCTTTTTGGCACTCATCACAGGATGTCAGTTTGGTCCTTTCTGACACTCTTTTATATGTAAATGTAATGAAAACTTGGTAAAAAGTTTTCATTGACTATGTCTACCTTGACTATAAAGTTAGGGATCAGCCTTAGGAAATCCTGTGGCTGGATTGATTTAGATTTGGGGTGCTAGAAAGTCTAGATTAATTTCCTTTTCTTTCTGATTTGCTTTGTCATGCTCAGCAGATCACTTAATCTCTCTCTTTCTGTATCTTTTGTCATCTTAGACTGAGTTGTTGTCCTTTGTCTTTTCACACAGCCCCGCTCAGATTGAGAAACCAGGATCTCTGGGTACTACTGTAGTGCAAGAAGTTGTTGCTTGTTGCTTCTCATTTAAAGCTATGTGAGACATCAGTCATTTATGTAACAGTAACATTAGTGTTACAATTTAAATAACTTTTCTTTTAGAATACTTGTGAGTTTAGTCCAATTTATACGAATCACCTTTATTAAATGACCTATATCACAATAATAGTGGTGGCACAAACAGAAAGCTTAAGACTTCAAGCACTCAGTGATAAACAGGCAGAATGAGTATACAACAGAGTGTACTGCTGAAGGCAAACAAAGGGAAAATTTATCTTCCAGAGTGAAGTGGGGGTTTGCATAAATAAGGGCTTACACAACTAGGAACTCTTGAATTAAAAACTCTTAATACTGGATTAACCAGTATATTTTTGCAAGCTAAAATTAGTTTATTCTTTTTCGACACTGACAGCCTGATCTGTAGCTGGACTTACACCAGGCTGTTGTATTTGAATGCCACCATTTTGGAGCCATATGTTTCCTGCTTCTTTTATTGTATCTCTGTGGCCTGTCACACACTTCCTCAGTCAGAGCAACCCACGCAGACATTCTTGTAACTCTGTTATGTGAGTTCTGATTTTGTAAGCACTCTCCAATTATAGATAACCTCTCCAAAGAGCCTCCCGGATGTAAGCCAGTGCCACCTCAAGCAAGTACTCCAAATAAATCCTTTTCATAGCTTTGTCAAACACTGTTTTAAAAATAGTAAAGGAATCGGTTGTTCCCACTATTTATTTTGCTCGTTTATGGTCCTCCCCTCTAAATCCAGATGTGAAAGTTGTCTCTGCCTTCAGAGGGAGTCAAGCACATCCAAGGGGTATTACTTTGAGATGTATAAGATGGAAAGCTCTGTGACCTTTGTTTTAGCTCTGTGTTTATCTGGTACAAGGACTTATCTTGTCCCTGTCTGCTGGCAGATGGGAACAGTGACAGTAAGCCAGCTGTACAGTTTAAATAGAGTTTCCAGTCTGATACAGCTGCACATGGAGATGCTGCGATATCAGTCAGCATTCATAAACTATACATAAACAGATTCCCCAAATCGTCACAACTGTTCCTGTATTTTGTCCATTGAATAAGCACAGTTGTGTCCTGGCAGCAGGATGCTTCATGCAATGTGTTCTTCCACAAGGTAAACTCTGTTTTTTTCAGCTGGGAGGTCTCCATGTGGAATTCTAGCAAAGTCAAAGGCAGTAGTGTTGAGGATTCATTGGAAACAGCCAATTTAATCCCCCAGCTAGCTCAAGTATGTTTTGTTCAATTCAGTCGAGGAATCCAGGCTTATAAAACGACCTTATAATGGGTTTTGAGGAATTGTTTACATGAGAGAATCAAGAGAGATGAAAAACAGAGAGGGTCAGTCTTTAGAAATGGGCTGCATACAGGAAATAGGAAACGTATGTGTCAACTTTGCTTCCAAGTTCCTACACTGACATGAAAGAAGACATAAAGGACATTTCAGGGAAGAAGTTTCCACTTGCCTGTATAGGTTGAATCACACATGGCAGCTAAGAGAAGGCAGTGATACTGAAGCATGCGTAATAATGCTATTGTTGCAATTTCTGGTTAGGATAAGCTTAAAAACAGAGTCCAAGGGTTCCAGTTTCTTCTTCAGGACAAGAAGATAAGAGATGTACTGAGCTGTTTGCACTCTTGTCACTATGTTCTGTTTTGGTTAAAGTGAAACTCTCAGACTAAAGCTGAACTAGCCATAATGTTTCACTTGCTTTTAATCAAATTGAACTCATCCATTAGTTGCAAGTGCCCTGTCACTGCAGTTCATAAGACTGTTTTTTAAGTATTGTACTCAGTGGAACTGCAGAGGAGAGGAATGTTTTTACACAGCTATATGCAGTGATCAACTCCACCTTCCTACAAATAACATGTTGCAACATTTTAAAAAGAAACAAGTAAGATAGTCTTGTTTTGAAAAGAAATGTCCCAACCCTGATTTACTTTCACATCTTTACTACTGAACTTGAGAAAAGAAGATTTGAACTGCTAGTATGCCTTTTCATTTCACACTGAATTTATAGGAAGTTTCCAAATAATAGCGGTCAACTTGGCAGGAATAAATGTAGACCAAATGGTGTAATCCCCACAAGGAAGCATAATTCTCTTATGAAGTATTTACAATAGCAAGCTTGGAAATCCAACAATAGGTTATACTGTTAATAGGTTGTTTATAGCTTCTTTTATTGACTGATTCATTCTTAATAGTAACAGATTTAGTCACCTAACACTCTTCATGTGGCAGGCAGTTTGATGTCCACTGTTGCTTTAAGAATCCTCTCAGGTAGCAGAAAGTATTGTTCTGACATAAATCAATAAATAGGACATAAATAGGACCTTGAAAAGTTCAGAAGTTCCCTGAAATGTAGCTGAACTTTCTGATGCTCCCTTTCTGTGACCCTCCAATAACCCTTATCTCCCCTGCCTTTGTGACCCTTTAATGTTTCCCTGGCTCTCCATTCCCTTCATCCTCCTAAAGAGCTTGGCTACTTCCCAACTTGGATTCATCCAACAGGCCACCCTCCTTGGAAACTCTCCCAGTCTTTGAAACGGCCTTGCAGTAGGGTAACCTCAGTGCTAGTTTGCAAATTTAAATTTCACATACTGTTGAACCATTCACTATGTAACTAAATCACACTCACAATCTGGTCAGAATCGGCAAAATTGTGTTTGTGGCAAGTTGTGGTTCAAAGTGATCAGACTTCTGTAAAGTTAAGGTCTTCTATAAAGAAAATGGGGGAAAGGATTGGGATTTGTTGTCCAAATAGATTTTGTAATACTTTCTACAGAGTTAAAGGTTTTTGCATTAAGGTTACATTGCTGGTGAGGTCAAAAAAGTTTTCTTTAAAATGGGATAGCACCAGTTTGAAGCCAGCTTGCTGCCCGAGTATTATTAATTGCTACTGTCAAAACTGCTTGTAACCCATCTTTCTTTGTTTGTAGCATGTTTTTCCACTGGATATTTCACAATTATACATTGTGTAGGAGTCAGACAAAAAAAGGGGTTTTTGATATCTGAAATAAAAGTTCCAGCGCTACAGTTTTGTGTACCCTTTAACACACATTATATGATTGTCTGATAGCTTCAGACATGAGAGGATGCTACAGCCTTGTACTTTATTATATTTTTCCACAGACTGCAGTTATCTAGTAGAGTTTTAGAAGAGGTGTTAACTTTGAGTGCTAAGTATATTGTTCCTCAATAATTTTATTTTTAACAGCTAACTGCAACATACTTGTCCGGAGACATTTGTTCCAATACAAATTACAAATTGGCTCTGATGGTCTTCACATCTTCTAATTTGTGTACAAACAAATCTGAGCTTCACAGGAGATTTTGTAAAATGAGGAAGTGTCACAGGTGTCCCTGGAATATGCAACTTTGTGAATATTTAAGCCAAGCAGTGTAAATGTAGAAATCTAAACATCTACATCTTTGTGTGCCTGGCAAGAAGACAACTAATTGTGTGAACCTGGTGACAACTTGTTTTTTCGTTGTTGCCTATGTCCTTAAGGTATCTCCTAGAATATTTATGAGAGATTAGAGTCAGCTCAGGGCTTCCCAGTGACCCAGGCAAAATTTATCATCTCAAGCTTAATGACAAAACTGTGTTCTTGTCCTTGGTCATAGTAAAATTAACCTTCTGGGTTCAGAGGTGGGAGTCATAAGGGTGAAAAGGCTGCTGAGGGGGAGCAAAGTCTCCCATGGTGGCATGACAAAAGAGCAGTTCAGAGCAGATCCAGGTTGGTTGGTGGCAGCAGAGAATGTGACCTGAGGTGGGTCAGTGGGATCTCTGGGCAGGTAAGTTTGGGAGTTAGGAACTCTCTGAAAGTCTGGAAGGGTCGAGATAAAGGTTGGAACATTCAGTAAGGGAAAGGTGACTGTGAAGTCAAAGGAAGAGCTGCCAAACCCAGAGCAGTGGTCATTACACCTTGACCCTATCCTTGATGGCAAAATAAGCAATAATTGGCTGTTTCTTCTATTATAAATAATGTAGACAATGGTGACCTTTCTGTCCTTGGCAGTCACCTGTCTATGCAGCCACTTGCTTGTTTATGACTAAAGCTGGCCTGCTATTTAATTTTGTATCATTGCAGTAAAAAAAGAGCCTCTACCTTAACATGCTTGCAGTCTGAATTTTATTTTCTGAGCCTTGGAGAACCAGCACAAAAGACTGTCTCTGTGAGAAACTAACATTTAAGTGATATAACACAAAGTTGTCTGTATACAGGGATAGATAGCAAACTGAAAAACTGAAATATGTCTAGCACTGTCTTCTTGAGATTAAACAAACAAAGTGCCCTTAACTTCTCCAAATATAGCATGTGCTTTAACCCCTAAAGGATCTATGTAACCCTTATTGATAAACTTGCTCCATTTTATTAATATCTCTCCTGTACTGGGAGAATCAAGACTGGTCAGAGAATTTGAGATACTTACTCACAAGTGCTGAGTAAAGGGCCGAATAATTTCCTTCAGCCTACAGACTGGGAACATCTTCCTTGCTGAGTGTCCCTTTGGAGATTGGACATCAACATTCCTCTGCTAAGGGATTTATTCTCATTTCTCTTGAGACAGGGAAATTATGTTTAACTATCAACATAAATGGCTTAGAAATTAAAGATTGTGTCAGAAATACCAGTTTTGTCAATAGCTGAAAATAAAGCATTATGATTATTCTCACAAAAAAAACTCATAAAAAATACTCAGCAGCTTCAGTTTGTACAAACCCATCTTCTTTCACGTCCTTCATGACTTTTCATCCTCTGAGGCTAGAATTTCAGATTTAAATTGTTCAGCCGATCACTGGGGATAGGATATATTTGTTGTTATTTATCTGCTATTTAAAAATGTGATGAGCCACTGGTTGGTAACCTTAGCGAAACAAGTAGTGTTTACTAATTTGTACTGGTTTAATTTATTTCAGGTTCATGTAAAACCAAAAGGCAAAACTAAATCAGGCAGAAAACCTCTTTCCCTACTGAAAAGGCCATTAGGTGGAGTTTTCCAGCTTTGAAGTCCGCAGTATATTCTGGCCCATGAAACAGAATTAAGATGGAGCATCCTATAGAATAACAGACTTTCTCAAACCCTTTATGTGTAGGATAGACAGAAGTTTCTTGAAATGTTTTACTCTTCATGGAAACAAATGTCAAGAAAAAGAATCTGAACAAAACCTGTAATGCTCTGCCAAGTGCCGGAAAGGCCCCTGCTACTGTCCCCAGTATCCAACCTTCAGAGCAGCTTTCACTATCTACTGTGTCAGATCTTCCCAGAATTTTGCCCGAAGTAGTACATCCAGAAGCTGGACCCCAGAAAAGGCGACCAGGCACTGCAATAATATCAAAACGGTCAGACACTTCAAACATGTCCCAGATGCCACTGAATCGGCCCATCATCCCACCAAGAAGACCTCAGTTCAGGGTATGCTATATCTGTGGCAGAGAATTTGGGTCACACTCTATTTCTATACATGAGCCTCAGTGCCTAGAGAAGTGGCACATTGAAAACAATCAGCTACCAAGACATCTCAGAAGAGCGGAGCCCAGGAAACCTGAGGTCCTTACTGGTGGCTCCTGTATGCGTACAGCTGAAAATGAGGAAGCTTATCAAAGTGCTCAAGCCCAGCTCCTGCCCTGTGGAAACTGTGGCCGAACCTTCCTTCCTGACCGTCTCATTGTGCATCAAAAGAGTTGCAGAGGAGGTAGCAGCAGTGTGGGGCTGTCAAGGTCTAGCCCCAGTAAATCTTGTAAAGGCTCAGGCTCTGTGTCTGGCTCAGCAAGTAATGGTCTATCCAAGACCTGTCAAGGAAAGAGAGGGGTTGCGCCAGCCGTATCAGACAAGGTAAATTGCTAATCACATGCTATACGAAAGGATGTGGATGCATTTTGAACCTAGACACTCCAGATGAGACTGGGTTCCCATCAAATTTAAAATCACTTTCCTTCAGGAGGGTCTTTTGGCTCCATGCAGATATTTCTCTGCAGAACAGTACGTAAAGGGAAGGGGAATACTGTGTGCATAAAGGAAACTTCTAATTCCTATTTCTTTTGATTTTTCTGTTGAAAGGGAGTACTTGGGTCCTCACACTCTGTGGTCCTGTGAGAGTTATGTACCCAAAAGGGACCCTTGTGTGCTATAGTTCCATGGGAGATTCTGTTGGGCAGCTTAGGCTAGCTTTGAATGTTACATGTTTTAGCAGGTTTTAGGTATTTTTATTTAGCTAATATGAAATAGAATGTTTTGTTATCCTGTAAACACTCCAGTGATTTTCATTTTTGCCATTATTCTTAACCTTGGCATGGAACACAATTTTACTGAGGACTGCATGTTCAAAGGCAGCAACTCAGAGTATAACAACAACAAAATAAGACTGCACATTTCTTTCCACTGAATTTGATTCAAGATCCAAGAATAAAGAAGCTGATTCACATTATCCAAAAGCTACACAAAGTTTTGGAAAATGGCATATTTTTTTCTGCATTTGTTTCTGCACAAGCTGTCTTTTGGCCAGGAGTTTTGTAAAAAGATAGATGTCTAAATTTAGGCCCAGTGTCTAAAATAAAAGACTTTTTTTTTTTTTTTTTTCCAGTGGGTGTTGGACTCCTGATTGCCTACATTAGTTTTGAAAATGGGATGTAGCTTTCTCAGTCACCAAAGGAATGTAATGCTATGCAGAGCATTTCTAAAAGCATTTTAAAAATCAAAGCATGCTGTACTTCCTTTTTGCAGCTGCTGAATATAATGGAAATAATAGCATTACCCTAACAATCATGAGAATAAAGACAATGTGAGGCATTTTAATATTATGATGTTTGAGGCCACTAATTTATAGATATTGGCAAATTAGATCCTCAGCTCAGCAAATTTTAAATAACCCACAAACAATTAGAAGTGCTGCACAGGTGCATCTATAGCTATAGGAAAAGAGATGTTCTTGTTGTGTTACACTGCATTGTACCATTTACAAAAGAACTGGGGTTGCTTCAAAGGTGATTGTTCAATGAAAGGCATGGGTTCAAAACAGACAGTTTTGTCCATCACTCAAAAATTCTGTATCTTTTAAAAAAAGGCGAGGGGGGAAAGATGGGAGGGGCAAATGTCCGTTGCTATAATGTCATTAAAAAAAAAAACAACAAGTTCAGAGTGTGGTTTGGCATTGAGAGTGACTCTGTAAAAATGTTGCCCTCTTGCACAACATGTCTGTTCCCTGTGTGGATTCAGTCACATCTGCTGACTTGTTGAACAACAACTTTATTACCACTTTTTACTTCTGTGAGCTCTGCAGAGCAGGAATTAAATGTTTTTGAATCTGTTCTTCCTTCTGTGTGAACAACAGGTTTTCTCATTTACTTCCAAGCACTTACAGTCCATCAGTTGCAGCAGAACTAATGAGGCCGCACAGCTTGCAGTTTGTAGTTGACTCTGAAGGACTTTATTATTAACAATGACTTTCAGGAAGGGATGATGGGTTTTACCTCCCTCAGATCCTTTACTATTTTTCGACCTGTCCTTTTGTACAGGTGTACACATTAAAGGCAGACATAGGAATGGAAAGAGTGAAAGAAATATCCTGTTATCCCAGGGGCTGTTCAGGACTGGCAGACTGCTTCTAAGAAGTGGTCAAATGAAGCTTTTTTTCCATAGGTTTAAATTTTCTGTGTGAGGGTCTCCACCTCCTGTCGAAAGGTCCACACATTGAAGGATGTTGAAAAGCACTAATCTCATGGAAGGAACACAGATTTGCCATAACAGGGACAAGGCCTGAGTCTTCTCTACAGTCATCATCTTTTTCCAGCATATGGTTTTAATTTTGCTCACCTTACCAGCTACTCAGCTGCTTATTAATTCTGTTAAAAAAGAGCAGTAGCATAGTGAAACAGCAATCTGTTTTGGTCCTGGCAGGAAAGCATTTGGTTCAGTCCATGTCTCATTTAACAGGCCTACTCACTGTGACAGTGAATTATTTAAGTACCTGTTTAAAGTCCTGATTCAGCAAAACGTCAGAGGGAAGGAATAACTGAAAAAGAAACCCAGTCCTTATGTAAGTGTATTTAATAATTGTAATGCTACCATCAAATTAATTTATGCAATGAAAGACGTCCTAAATTAAAAAGCTGGATTTTCCTCATCTTAAAAATAAATATGTGACTGATTTGGTGGAATATTGCGTGAAGGGCATTTTATCTTCACAACTGCAAGCACTTTCTACTGTGTGCCTCTGTCCTGGAGCTCTCTCCTCTAAGCAAGTGCAGGATCAACTAGATCAGCATCACTGCTGACAAACACTCAGTTAAATGCCTTTAGAGCTGGGGACTCAATACCCTCCATAAGCCATCTCTTCCACTAACTGTCCTCGCTCTCAGAATGCATGAACATGTCTGAGTTAATCATGTCTGGCTGTGTAAAGCAAACAACAGCTTATGCTCAAGAGACTCTCAAGGATCACATCAGCTCAGGAATTCTGTTTTGGATTCTGCTGTGATAACCCCAGAAAATGGAAGTGATGTGTGGAACTACTGATATTCAGACTTGCACTACAGCAGAGTGTGGTTTTTATGCTTTCATAGACCAAAATGTCTGCTACATGGAAGTATTAATGACTTGCTGTGGGTCTCTGTTACAGTTTTTTGACAACAGATAATGCTGATCCCAAAATCCTATCAGATGTGTCACTAGCATCTGGTGCTGCCATCTGCTGTTTTCTTCTTATCAAGTTAACTACCTAAAAATAAGATATCAGTGTTCTTCCTTTATTATATTGTAATGCATTTTAACACAGCATAAGTCTTGAAAACCTGTAATGAAAAAATGTTGATGTTGTATCTTGCTGTAGCATAAAGTCTTCTAGTCGCTTAGAAAAATGAAAACTCCAGATGCTGTGTAATTTTAATGAAGATGGGAAATCAATCATAAACTTTGGTTTTGCCTTAGTTGCAGCAGTTTTGAACATCTTAGAAGAATACTGACAAATATTTTTACAATACAGAAAGTTAGATGAGGATGGACAGTGACTGAATGGTTTCATTGAAACTTACTGAGTACTCTCATTGAGCATGATTGAGCTTCCTGCCTTTCTGCTTTCACACAAATGCCATGTCCATTATACTGATGTATTTCTTTTACAAGGCAGCACATCAGGAGTAAAATGGAATATTCTAGTGCTTCCAGTAGAGTAAAATCTTTAATTACCTACATCATCTGGCAGAATCGCCTTGCTGTTCAAGGAAATTTCATACACAGGCATATGACAAGTCCTAGCGTTAGTCTGCTGTTGTGTCGGGGCAGTAGGCTGTGAAATGCACCTTTGCATAGTCATGAGAGCCACACCACAGCTTGTCACTGTCCCTTATGTAAAACGCCTCTTACTTTCCAGAGAAGAATGTATGGAAAGGGCTGCTTTCAAACAACACCATGCTGTTACCCAGTGTTTGAGCCAATCTTTTCCTGAACTTCTGTTCCTTGGGCAATTCGAGCCCGTGATGAGAGCTCTTGGCCTAGAGCAGGAGGCCTCCCCTCCTCCCATCAAAATACGTGGATAATTAAACAAATAAGAAAGGTGTGGGTGTGTGCAGTCCTGGATGATAAATATTTATGGAGGGGAGCTTGGGAGACAGTCTTATTGGGTGTACTTAAGAAGAAATTAAAAGCTTTGTGCACTATGGGAGGATTTGACCTCATGTAACACCATAGCAGCAGCCTGGGGCTAACCTCAAGTAATGTCAGGTCTATTGAAAATACATAGTTGCGTGGCCCTCTGAGCTAAATAACTTCATTCATGGTCACGCAGACATACTTAGCAGCCTTGGAGAAAAAAGTAAATACTGAGACACCAGAGGAAAGCCTAACTGCACTGCTTTCCTGTAGGTGTTTGTAGGTATTTTTATAATAACACATATCCTCAGGAACAGACCTTCCCTACAACCCTTTTTAAAAGTGAAAAACAAAGCAGTGAGCAGACAGCCTAGCCACTGGCCTGTGAGTAGTTTGGGTTGGAAAATTGTGGTGATGCCAAAAATAGTTTAGTTTCAAACTGCAGGCCTCCAGATGTGACATTTGGGATAGGCAGAGGCTGAAGAGAAAAAGAAATGAAGGATAAATATCATTAGCTGTAGAAATTCCAAATAAAGCTTATTATACCTCGTACTCCCCAGTTAAGCAACGAAAGAGGTGTTACTACCAATTGTAAGGATATTCTCCTTCAGGTTTTATCATCCAGCTTTCTAACATGTGTGTATTTGCAGAGGAGGATTTGTGGATATAATTTGATCTGTGGTGATGGTGTAAACTCCCTACATTTCTGGAAAAAATAATTCCATGCTTAGAGTGATCTGATTTCTTTTAATGAATTCTTGTCTCTGCTATTGTTTCTGTACAGTTTTTAATTGTGGAAGTTACAAAACAGAGACATTTCTACTTGAACAGTTTTCATAAACATTTTTTCACCGAATAGGATTTAGTTATGACTCAATCCCCATTGATAACTTTGGAAAATAGAATCCTCTATTTAGTTGTAGGCCTGGTTTTGCTCAGTCGCAGCAAAAATTCACATATAAATGCCCTGTCAAGACCTGAAGGGAGGGATGACAGTACTCCTCATTCAGCCTTTAGGTTTTCAGGTGAGACTATCAAATGGACCAGCTAAGAAGTGTGGAAAAGTATCCAGATTGCACTGGATGGAGATCACTAACTTTTGTCTTGCATGTGTTCAGTAGTGGGACATCACAATGACTTTACAACAAGTGTCATGGATTTGAATGAAGCAGTCAGAGACAAAAGGCTATGTCCATTTCATACAGGTGTTTTTACACCTACCATTTATTTAGTAAACCATTTCTGAAATGCTGTAAACATACCCGTAACAAGCACGTACACTGAAATGAGTTGTCTGACCTCAAGAGTTTCAGCTATAGTATCCTTATCTAAAGCTCTCCAGAGCCTACAAAGAAACATATGCTGCTTTCAACAGACTCTGTATCTGGCCCCAGAGTCTTATCTCCAAATCAGACAAGGTCTAGCTCAAGAAATGAAGGAAGTAGGTGAAAATTGATAATGAAAAATTAGAGGGCATTCTTAAAACAGTTGTTGCTGTATTCATCTATGAATAGGAAGAGAAGGTTATATATACATTAAAAATACCTTGCTATCAAAGATGGCTAAGGAAATTCCATTTGAAATTTAAGAAGATGAAAATGTCCTTGGAAAGATTGTCTTTGGATAAATTATATTTAAAATAACTGTGAGAACTTTCCAGTTGAAGTCCAAATTTTCCCAGCAAAAATACACTTTGTAGAGTAGTATTTCTTCATGTAATTGAGTTTACATGTGTGATACAGGAAATAAAGCTTATGCAGATTGTTCACTAATGACATTTTCAGATTGTAACATAAATGCAAGAAGAGTTGCCCAGAATTTGTTGAATACCCTGATGGGCTGACAGAAAGAGTCATAAATACTAGAACAGGTTACGCTTTGTCTTACACACCAGCAGAGGAAAAAATGAAATCCCCACCTCCCTTGTTTGAGTCAGAAAGTCTTCCCGCATTTGGTCTGGCATGGCCGTCCCTCTACCTTGTTGGAAGACCGGGAATAACTCATCTCTTACTGGTATTCTGCAGTCAGGAGTGCAGGAAGTGCTGGCAGTTGTGAGACCCATCAATGTGCCTCAAAGTGCTGTCTCTGCAGTAGGGTTTTACACCACTCCTGTAGCAGGGCTGGTACCGCCACCACGCCTAGCCCGGGACGTGCCTAAGGACACAGTCGAGTCCATAATCTGCAATAGCACAGTAATTATATCTTTTTCAAGGTTAGAATATGTATTTGTGGTGCTTGAGTTTGAGGGACTTTTGTCTTCCACTGAGCTGTTTTTCTCTGTGAACAAAAGCAGATCTGCAATGCAGAAACAATGACTTGCTTAAAGTCCAGTTCTGCCCTCACTGCAGTCACTGGCAAAGTTCATGCTGAGGCCTTCAGCATAAAAAAACAACATTTTTCCCCCTATCCTGAAATATCCCGGCTTGGTTTTAATCCTACAAGGGTAAGAGTTCCACCAACTAACTGATCTGTGGCAGAAGTAACATGGGGTTAGGGACCACAATCACAAACTTAAGACATCTGCCCTCATTGTACAGCTTAAGAGAGATGCTAAGGCTGGCCACAGTGCTTTAGCTGTATTATGCCTGGAGACGGGGTCTTTGTGCTACTCCACTAGACATCAGCAGTTCAGCTGTAGAACCTATTGTTGCTGCTTCCCATGTTACTTCTGTTTGGTAGATAAAAAAAGGACTTCAACATTTAAGATGGACACTTTGCTGTGGGAACCTGATCAAGCAGAGGAGTTGTTTCTGCACATGAAGACTCAGCAATTCCATTAACTTGATGGTATGAAAATAAAAGAACTAAAACCTACATAGCTAAGTATTAATTAGGTGACACATGAAATTTCATCCCAGTATCTGCAGAAGGAGCCTACCCGTTCACGGTGACCAGTTAATGAGGCAATGTCTCTTACAAACTTCAAGACTGAATCCAGACAAAATGAAACTAATAGAAAAAGTTACACTGATTTCACAGATATGAATCAGTTTCTACATGATTGTTTTCATCCAAAGTTATTCTGATTCAAAATTAAGGTTGAAAACAATACTTACTATTCTTCACAATTGTTTTTTGCAGGCACAAGTGATAAGACGGCCACCAGCAGTGCTCTGTTACATATGCGGCCGTGAGTATGGAACAAAATCTATTAGTATCCATGAGCCACAATGCCTGAAAAAATGGCACCAAGAAAACGACAAGCTACCCAAGCATTTGAGAAGGCCAGAGCCCAAAAAGCCTGAGGTCAGTCCCGTACAAGGTAAGCTACAGACAAATGAGGAAATGGGAAGAAGAAAGTGGGAGGAAGAGAAAAAAAGACTTCTAAGCAGTAGCTTAGTCATTTTCTCCATTTTACTCTGAGGAGAAGGTAGCTATCATGGCTTGTTTTAAGCTTCCTTCTAAGTATCCTTTTCTCCTTCTGTGCTGCATCCATGAGAAGTAAGAGTAGTTGTTGCCTTGTGGAACATGCCTCCTGGGACAGTCCTCTTTATGTGTCAGTATGTTCTGAATCAAAGTGCAAAAAGGTTAGCAGCCTGCTCCACAGCTACATCACTACCTTTTCACTACTTTCAACGCAGTAGAAAAGTGTATTTTAAAATGGCAAATATAGTCGTTAAAATAAAGCAGACAACATAAGGAAGATACTTCAGCCAGATTTTACACCTATAGCATAGGTTATAAAAAAAAAAGCCTGGCACTAACACTTAGCCGTGGTAAACAGTGAGTGGCCTCAAAAACAGGTGTTCTGTGGTAAAATAAGAAATAAAATACTAGATGCACGATGACTAGTAGAAAAGAAGGTATTTTTAAAACCTACCTATAGCACATACTGTTTCAGATTTTTATTAATATATGCTTATAGATAAAAATTCAGTATCCTCTACAATGAACATCCAGTGGATGTTATTGGTCCCTTTTTATTCACAAGCCTTAGAAGATTTCTTTGTGAGACATAATAATATAAACACAGTGGGAAAAATATCTATGTGGTATAAAATAAGTATTTTATTTCTGCCAAGTATGTGTTTGTGCTGTGGGTTCTGTTTTGTAAGATGCTAGATCCCATTTCTTCAAACTGTTGACAACTGGTGATCCTCAGCACCCGACAGAGCAAGGCTCCTGTATGCATTCTGGGACCGTGTGCTCACTTTGGGACCAAAAGGAAAACTTATCTGTGCTTTGCCTGGAATGTGCTCCCAGGACTTCCCCATTCCCGCATAAAGTTATTTCACTATTTCAGCTGGATGCTTTCCCTGGCCCTGCCAGCTGGTCTGAGCTACTTTGGCTCAGGTTTGGACCACTTGCCTAGAAACAGTTAATTCACCCACCTTTTATTTTATGTTTGGGTTTTTTTTTATAGTGCCTGTAATTTCCCGCAGCTTCCCCTGATGTCTGGAAAAGTAGATAAGTTCTCCTACAACTCACAGTGAAAGAGTCATACACTAGATCAGTTTACAGCAGTACAAAGAAATATGTCCCCAGAAGACACATGCAGAAGAGAGTAAGATCACTGAGAACACTAACCAGCTGTTAAAAATAATAATAATTACAGCTCAAATAATATCAAATCAGGACTTGATTAGCAAATGTCTAGCAGCAGAGTTGAATCTGCAATAAAAGATAAGTTCAAAAGAGATTTTCATTGTATTTCTTTTTTTTTTTTTTTTTTTTTGTTAAAGTCTTTTTAATTGTTACATGTTGAGTGGTAGAAAAGATGGAGAAAATGAGAATTCCATCCGAAAGAGGAGGATGCAAAAGGACAAATCAGGTTATTTTGAAATACCCTTGTCTTATTTTGAAGGAGTGGAAGCAGAAAGACAACCAGCCTTTGAGAGAACAATCCAGCAGAAGGCTCCCAGATATGAATCAGAAAATTGTCTCATTTATGCAATGAGTCATATCAGGCGCCGCACATCTCTTATGAGGTGTTGTGTGCCCACGGTTCCCCAGGGGACACTGACCTGCTTCCAGCATCTGTCCCTAAATGCCTGCTGATGCAAGTCTGATCAGTTCTGTAGCTTGAGCTGAAACTGTTGTTCCCCCTACAGTTGCCTCATGCTTCTGGCCTCGAGAAAATAATCTCAGTGTTGTTCTTTTTCCGTAAGATTTACTCTCGATCATCTGGTAAACGCTATAACTGACCTTGAGACCACATACACGTACTGCATGTCTCACAGTTTCTCAACTTTGGGAGGAGGGATTGTTGTTGAATGGAACAGGCAATGTTCAAAAAAAGCTCAGAAATATTAACTGCTTACATAAAACTTTTTATAACTTACATAAATCTTTTTCTGAAAACTCAAGTGTCGCAGGAAGACAACCGCTGCCCTGATTACACAGTGTTTTGTTTGTGGAATGCCGAACACATGCCTGCAAGGAGAAAGTCATCTCTCTTTCTCTTTTTTTTTATATTCAATAAACTTTCCAAAGTACAGAAAATACACATTCATTTCCTGCAAGCAAAAGGGATATTTGTCTCAGCCAAGAAAAGAAACACTACTTGGTTGCTCTTCTAACAAAAAGAACATTAGGAACAGGCATATTAAGAGATCTAAGGCTTATTGTGGTTATGTGAACCATTGGATATGAATCATATTAAAACTGTATGGGCCTTTAATGAAGAGCTCTATCATGTGCCAATGACAGAAACCATGGAATATTTTTAAATGTACAAATCCTTTTCTTTTAAAAATTGTCTGCTGCTAACAGTTCAAAGACAAAACCAACTATTTTGTCTTTTTTTCTGTATTGTCATATCTTTTAAAAAGGGCAAAGTGAATCCATCTTCAAATCGAGGCCTGTAGATTTTTTTCTGCATGCACTTCAAATTAAAAATCTTAAGATCTAAATCCAGTTATTAAGCAACCTACCTGTCTTTTTTGGAAATCAGTTTGAATTAATGCTATGTGAAAGTCCATTTCAAGGTGAAAGTCTATTCCAAGGCGAAAGTAAACATGATATTTTTTTATACTCAAATGAAATCTGAAAATACTTCTGATGTGAGTGTTTGAAGAATGCTCCTGAGTTTTCAGAGCAGTCACTCTTCCCACAGTGGAAAATAACTGAGGGTAAGACTGGATTAGTGCTTAAATGACAATAGATGCATAAGTGCCATGACCTCACTGGAAGTTGCGGCTTAAAAGAACTGTAGGTTTTGTCTGTAAGGTTTTAGGCTTACCTAAGCTTTTCTCCACTTATTGGCAAAACTTGCATAGACTTCAACAGGAAGAAAATTGGGCCCCTTGTCCAGAGCAACACAAAGAGCATATTCTCAAGTACAATACGCTCCCACCCATTGCCATGGTCAGATAACACATGCTCATTAAACAGAACTTGAAGTAAAGCCAAAAAGTGAAATTTGCTGATAATAGTATGTATGCAAAGATGTTAATAATTAGCTGAGAATGCATATCATAACACACAGCATGATGTTTTCTCTGTACTTTCATACAATACAAAATGATTCAGTTTGAAGTTAATTTAATTCAACCCCTGGGACAAAAAGCAGAGTCTTTTTTATGTATTTTTTACTCTTTTGCTTCTTTCCTTTCTTTTTCATTTGCAAAATCAATATGGTTTGGTTAAACTGAAAGGCTCAGTCAACAGGTATTTCCTGAAAATATTTTCCATAAAGAGTTGAATGTGGGTCTCCAGAATGAAAGCTGATACTTTCTTTTTTTAATTTTCCAGCCAAAGGTTTCTATGATCTTGATTCTTTAAATGAGGCTGCCTGGATCAGCGCCCAGAACCAGCTAGTTCCATGTGATATTTGTGGGCGTACTTTTCTTCCAGACAGACTGATCGTCCACCAGCGGTCCTGTAAACCGAAACCAGCAACATGAAGTGGATGTAACACACATGAATATCTATGCACACATGCTCACACACACACACACACGAACACATACACATGCACCCATACCTTTCAGACAAACCATGAGAGAAATAAAATCCAGCTAAACAGCCATGAGCATCAAAACTGTACTGTGTCATCGGATCACATGCTCCAAAAATCTCTAGAGTAAAATCAGCAGTTGCTACTGTATTGTAAGGTCAAATACGGTGGTTTTTTAGCCCAGCAGTAGCCAAAAGGTCTCCTCACTTCTGTTGTTCAGGTAGCATCACCTTGAAACCGCGCTTTGAGAGAGATGGCATAAGAATACTTGAAAATAGTGTTAACTGTCATCTTTCTTCTCCTGAGCCTGTGCTTTGTTGAGTGCAGGAGAACCCAAGTGAAGAATCCTCCCAGGTTGCTTTCTGAATCACTGTGCTGTCTTAGAATCATAGGATCATAGAATTGTCTAGGTTGGAAGGGGCCTTTAAGATCATCTAGTCCACCATCAACCTAACTGACAAAAAACAATCACTAAACCATGTTTCTAAGCACTATGTCAACCTGTCTTTTAAATACTCCCAGGGATGGTGCCTCCACCACTTCCCTTGGCAGCCCATTCCAATGATTAATAACTCTTTCATTGTAAAACTTTTTCCTAATATCCAATCTGAACCTCCCCTGGAGGTCTTAATCTCTGTTGGTCAAATGTAGGATGTTCTTCAGTCCCATTCCTTTCACAGCCTTTTAGATTTAGCTGTCTGGACCTTTGAACGAAGTTGGGCCTTCTGCAAGCATATGCTTGCAAGTAAAATTCTGCAAGGTATTTTACACGGCATGTTTGAGTTTAGTATTCAGCAAAGTGCAGAAAAAATGAGCCATAGCTGTTAGGTGTCTTTCACTGCAGAGATTGCTTCGAGAATATCCCACAGGGATCCATCTTGTGGTCTTGCTTTTCAACGACTCTGTTGAAAAGAGATGTTGGGAGAGATGGTATAATGGCAGGAGCTCCCTTATCTGCAGTGACACTTAGCTACATGTCCCCCGTTCAGTGAATATATTCACCTCTTTTAGAACCTGAAGCTTCTGATAGCTTTTAAGAAATGAAATCTTCAGCGAGTAGCTCATTGAATCTCAGTGGAAGCAAAGCTTGAGTGATATTGATCAGGAAAATTCTTTGAATTTTTTTTTTCTCCTCTGTCAAAGACTTGTCTAGCATAAGGACCTCCATCTGAACTTGACTAATCAGAGAAACCAAGTAGCTCCTTTGAGTTGGTTGTCTTGTTTTTTTTGTTTGTGTCCTTGCCCATCTTTGACACAAGACTATTCATTGACTTCCACTCAGAACTAAAATCTGTGGAGCACTCTAGTGTTCCAATCCTTGTGGGACAGCGCAGCTCATGAAGTTCTTTGCTACAAGTGAAACGTTGCCATATAAAGGGATCCAGCCACAGAGTGAAAGCAGAGCCTGGCTGTTTTTAGAAAACATCACAAAAGTGCCCTCTTCTTGGAGCATTTCTTGCTTAAGAATGATACCGACCATGTGATTTATCCTCAGCTCAATAAACTGATCATGCCAAAAATTTTATAAGTCAGGGGAGCACATCTTTGTCATGAACTTGGTAAAAGAAAACATATTTTTATGTCAAGCCAAAACAAGCATGTCAGATGGCTGAAATAAAATACCACCCTGCCCTCTATGCCAAATATGACCATAACAGAGTGACAGTATGAGCAAGAAGGGTAGGTATTATATAAGAAAACAGTGGGGAAGATGTTTGAATGTGCTATTTTGAAAAATGCTGTTATGTTATGTAGCAGAATCAGTGCCAAAACACAACAGTGAATAGGTTAAACACATGAAGGAGGTAATACTCACTTTAACAAGGTACAGCAGAGAGCACTTTTTATTATTATTTTACTTACTCTGAAGTGTTTTATTAAGTAGTCAGAGAGGTTATTCAAAAGGTATGACAAAATCCTATCCTAGTTATTAACCAGCAATATAGTCTTCCTGATACCATGAAAGAAACTGTACCTCATGTACATTTTCAGCTTCATGCTTAAGGCCTGGAGCTGGCTGTTATGTATTGTGTGACCAGTGTGACTTTTCTCAGAACATTCACACTTACTATTGTACTTACAAATCAGATGAAGTGGATGTCTTCATATGCACTAAAATGATATATGGGTACCAGCAGCTTTTCCAAGCTATCAAGCTGTGATTTGTGGCATAAGTGAAATAAGAAGTAATATCATTGTTCTGTTATTAGAGGAACACTCCTGGATCCAGCCCTTGTGGGCTGTTAATTCAGACTGGGAGAGGTACCAGCATTCTTTGGTGAAAATAATTTCCAAAACAATCAATGGCACCTCAGCAGCCCTTTCATCTTCAGAATGAGAATTGTATTGTCTGAAGATAGATATCTTCAGGAGTCAAAGGTTCAGTTTCTGTTCTACAGTACAGAGCTGTGTAAACCCCACAAATCTGTCCTTGTTAATGTCTCCAATGTAAGGAGAATCACTGACGGAGCTGGACTGGTGCCATCCCTCCTCCTTTTGGCTGGGAGGAGGCATGTGGCCTGAGGAAAGAAGAACACTGGCACTGGTTTGTGGTTGCTAGACTGGCTCCTAGGAGCTGTTGGCAGGCAACATACATTGCAAGACCCTGGAGTCTGTTGTGATTCACGTCAATTGTTGGCCTACTGGTGAGCGCCTTGGTAACTGGAGGATTATGGATGTCATGTAATCTCACCTTTGTGTCCCCTGTTTCTCTTTTTGAACCCCTCTTCCTTTTGTCAGACATGATAGACATTTTTTGACTACATCTGCCTCACTGAGTCATCAAGATTCATTACAGAGTCACTTCAAGAGCAGAAATATATTTTAAAGAAACTAAACAGCCTTTGCAGAGTCACGGCAATCTTTGGCGTTAAAAATTTAGCCCTGCCTTTTGGTGGGATTCAGAAATCAGATTCCCTATGTCACTCTGAAAGTTGAACTTGGAGTCTTGATGATTTTAGATCTGCCTGATATTTCACCCAGAATAGTTTTTCTGTGTTTCATTGTCAGCTCTACTCTTGTCTAATTTTTTTTCTGGATTATTACCCCAAAAAGCAATAAAATCTGTGTCATGAGCTGAGCAGAGTATTTATAAACAATCACAAAAGCACTGATATTAACTATACTTTTAGTGTGCTGTTGTGTCTTGCCCAGAAATACCACTGTACGGGACATCCTGAAGCCACAAGCCTGAAGTATGGTTCCCACATCAGCCTTTGAGGGAGACAAATGAGATTTTGGCAAATTAAAAGCTGCCTTTACTTATAGGTGATTGCTGCTGAGTGCTGAACTTGGTGCAGAATCTGAGAAACGGTAAGCCTTACCACTCACAGAGGCAAGTCAACACTGGGCTGTGAGGGCTGGTGGTGAGACCAGAGCACACAGGAACTGAGCAGGAGGCAACAGAGCTCAGAAAGACCTCATAGACTATAACTTCCCCTTCCCTCCATAACATCAGGGGTACAGTGATTTTCAAAGTATGTAGAAATATAAAAAGCACCATATTGTCCCGTTTCAGACACTGACAGGATATCACTGTCACTCACATCTCCAGGCAACTCTGTCACAAGCTTTTCTGCTGAGCTCACCAGCCGTGGTGTTAGTTTATGCCAATGATGATGGTCAGCTCTTTGGCAAGACTTGTTCACAGGGAGAAAAACTGATAGTGACTTCATGGTTTGGTCTCAACAGTTATGAGCATCTTTCATTATTTCTTGGCATTTATCAATCAGACTTTTTCGCAGAAGAGGAAAAGGAAATGAGAAATTGAGCTACTTTTCTTCCTTTGTTTCCATACTTTAGTGATTTGTCACTTAACTTTATCTCACCCACTGTTGGCTCATGATGATTTCCAGATTGATTCCACGTTTCCTACTGGCACAAGACATTTAAAGAGCTGAAAAATGTTTTCCTGTACTTCAAAAACAATGACATTCCATCTAGTTTGCCACAAATGTGCTGATAACAGCTAGAACTACTCCTGGACAAAATGTACAGAAAGTGGAACATGGATTGACAAGCAAAGTTCAATCACATTAAACAAATTAAAATCCACTTTCAGACCATAAATAAAATCTCTGACTGATATTTTAGTTCAGCCCATTGGACCTACCAGTTCCACTTAGAAATTAGACATTTTAGAAAAGCAATCCTGAAGCTCATAGTCAAGCTAGATGAGTTTAACTGCAGACTTCAAAAATTGGACATTAATGAAAGAACTATTATTAACTGCAGATAAATTTACACGTAAAGTGCTACAGTTTAGCAGGTTGTGAATGTCACAGTCGTTTTGTTACCACAGAAGCTTGAAAACACCCCTCATCTTTAAGAGCAGTAGCAAAAAACACTTAGCAACCTTTAACAAAACAGTTTCATGGACCCTTTATCTTAAAGACTGCCAGCGTTTAGTAGACCACAGCTTGATGAACAAAGAATTTGTAAATGCAATGTCAGCTTCTATCTGAAAGATAGTGAGAACATACACAGACCTGTGAATACTCTCTGCATGGCATGTACTTGGAAAATATATAGCACTGTATAAAAATTATGTTTTCAGCACTGGCTCCTGACCACTGACAATTTGTATGCTTAAGGTTTAGTTCAGGATTTGTAAACATAAAATTTGATGCTGTCTTCACTGAAGCAAAGTCACATGTTAGTATATGGGTACAGGATGGAGCCAGAAAAGTTAAGGGATCAATCAGATCTTGACATGTATATGCCTTAATCAAATTAGTTCCTGGAGGTTTTTATGATTTCATGGCCTATGTTTGTTTAACAACAGAATTTCATAACTGAGAATTAAATTTGGGTCTATTACCCAGTTCAGTGAGATGGTCTATGGAGAAAAGATTCTAGAAGGCTCTTGTCTAAATTACTATTTCCTGTGGGGCTCCTGTCTGCCCAGGTGATTACTTTTGATTCACTGTCAGTGGGATTGGGTTTCCTATGTTCTGTTTTTCTGAATTGTGTCAACCACAGTGTGTTCAAATGAGTTTGCTGTATCTGGACACATGCCACAGTCAGCAGGACAGTAGGATCATGCAAAAGTACCACTCAACAGGGACATGAGGTCCACTAGGAAACAAAATTTACAAGCCTAGAAAACCCTCCAAGAAGTTGCCTGAATGACTGTCCACATTCTTGCTTGCTGTTACTTGCTTGCTCCTCAGTCAGTATCATAACTGACATACACAAAGTATTATTGACTCTTGGGCACGCAAGGGCTGGGGACTCATCCCAAATCTATATTTCTTAGAAAACTTCTGGCATTTGCAGTTCAAGAAAAATTGTTATAATTTGCATAGTGTTGAGAGCCATGATTTTAGAATTGGAAAATCTACCTGACAAGTGAGACACCAGGAGCTCAGACTAAAAAAAGAGTAAGTGCTGCACTGACAGCCTGTA